CATCCATCTTCCAAGTTTGATCCTCGGGCAGCTAAGTGTATATTCCTCGGTATTCCAATCTTCAAAAAGGTATAAGATGATCCGGTCTCTAAACGCCTGTTTGTCAGCCGAGACGTCACCTTTGTCGAACATGAACCATATTCTGCTTCAATTCAGGGGAGAGTTGGAGTGAATTTCAGCCTACTACAAGTGTTCTAGAACCTATACCCCCCATCTCCTCCAATCCTTCTCTCCGATTCCTTGGATTCACCCCCATTATGACTGTGCTGCCTAGTGCAGTAAGTGAGACTCACAAGAAGCAGAAATAGTTTGATAAGGTATATAACATAGAGACAAGCAAACACATGGGGCTGTCATACCTGAGGCCGTGCCACTCACTCACGACCGGTGACAGATCCTAACATTGTTGAGGCTGGTATAGAAACTGCTCAAAAAGAGGTATGTGAACTGGATCTACCTATTGCCTTGAGAAAGAAAATTCGTTCTTGCACTAAACACCCTATCCATAATTTTGTGACCTATGCTGCTCTCTCTAAGAGTCATTATACCTTTGTAACTAATCTTGATAAGATTACAGTTCCTAATGATATTCATGAAGCCCTTAAAATCCCAGAGTGGAAAGATGCTGTCATGGAAGAAGTAAGGGCCTTAAAGAAGAACGGTACATGGGAAATTACCAAATTACTAGTTGGTAAGAAACCAGTAGGCTGCAAGTGGGTATTTACTCCTAAATACAATGCAGATGGGTCTCTCAATAAACACAAGGCTAGATTGGTTGCAAAGGGATTCACTTAAACGTATGGGGTGGATTACAATGAGACATTTGCTCCTGTGGCAAAACTGAATACTATCAGGGTCCTTCTGTCTATTGCAGTGAATCTTGACTGGCCCTTACAGCAATTAGACATCAAGAACGCCTTCCTTAATGGTGAACTAAAAAAAGAAGTGTATATGTCCTTGCCACCCGGCTTTGAAATGGGTAGAAACAATCAGGTATGCAGGTTGAAAAAATCTATATATGGGCTAAAGCAGTCACCCAGAGCATGGTTTGATAGGTTTTCTAAAGTTCTTAAAGCTGAGGGATACAAGCAGAGTTTGTCAGATCACACAATGTTTGTCTCCAAGAATGGGGATCTCATCACCATTCTCATTGTGTATGTCGACAACATTGTTCTTACTGGTAATGGTATAAAGGAGATGAACAGGATAAAGACAGCCTTGAATAAAGAATTTGAGGTAAAGAATCTTGGAAAGTTGAAGTATTTCCTGGGCATGGAAGTTGCAAGGTCAAAAGAGGGTATTTCTATTTGCCAACAAAAATACATCCTGGACTTACTCAAGGAAATCGGAATGCTTGGATGCAAACCAAGTAAAGTGCCCATAAATATCAAAAAGAAGATCAAGAAAAGTGAAAAACCAGCCAAAACTGAAAAAGAGGCTGCAAGGAGAAAGAAACAGGAAAAAGATGAAGGACCTACAAATAAGGGACGTTATCAAAGGCTAGTTGGGAAGTTAATCTACCTCTCACATACTAGACCCGATATCGCCTTTGCTGTGAGTGTAGCAAGCCAGCATATGCACTCACTGAAAAAGAAGCATATGAATGCAGCCTACAAAATACTGAGATACCTTAAAGGCACTCCTGGTCGTGGTTTGTCCTTTAAGAGCAATGATAGATCTGTTGAAATCTACACTGATGCTGATTGGGCAGGAGACCAGGAAAACAGTAGATCAATTTTAGGATACTGTACCTTTATTTGGGGCAACTTAGTGACATGGCAAAGCCAAAAACAAAGGGTTGTAGCAAAAAGCAGTGCAGAGTCAGAATTGAGAGCATTGGCTCAGGGTATTATGGAAGGTCTATGGATAAGAATAGCTGAAGAGGCATACTTTGCGATCAACTCTCCATTGAAGTTCTATTGTGATAACAAAGCAGCCCTCAGTATGGCGTTAAATCCAGTTCAGCACAGCAGAACCAAACATGTGGAGATAGATCGACACTTCATAAGGGAAAAGGTAGAAGATGGGATTATCTGTCTATCCTATGTTCCTACCAAGATGCAGATTGCGGATATCCTCACGAAAGGACCCTCAGAAGATGTATTTAAGAAATTTGTCAGCAAGTTAGACATGATGAGTATCTATGATCCAACTTGAGGGGGAGTGTGGTAAATAGGTTATTTATGTTTATTTATATCTGTAAATATTTGTGTTTATTAGATAGGATCTGAGGAGTATATCCCAGCACATATAAGGGAATATCTCCATTATCCGTTTTTGAATTTTTCCCAAATCCCACTGATTATGGTGAGGATTCTCCTGTACACTATTTAATTACCGGCTACACCGAGGAATATGATCATCGAGCTATTATACTCTGTTACTCCACAAAGCTTCTCAGCGTGGTAAACCAGTTCATAAGCAAACCATAAGAACAAGACCTGGAGGTGGTTTATGGAATATTAAGATGCTCGAAGATGACACTGGTGATTGTTATTTTCAAAAGGACATGATAGGGTTGAGAAAGTATAATTACATGTTGACTAATAAGCAGTGTATAGCTGATTCTCAACTTTTTCTGCCACATCCTCATCTCTTGAATCAAAGGACTTCACACAGTAAAACATGTAAACTAACCATCCATTATGTCTGAACTCTGCAAACAGCCAATTGCTGAGTCGATTAGTTCATCTGAATGAGAAAACAAGCCGCCTTGTAAAGCAACCTGAAACATGCAAGCATGAGTACACTTCACGCACAGAAAAAAATACCATGGAACATTTTGATGCCAAATATGAACATACCTCTGCTGTCTCTAGAAGAAGATCAAATTGCCTCCTCTGAGAGGAAATGGAAGGTACTGTGATTTCACTAAATGTTATGCAGGATTTGACAAAAATGAGATGCTTTTTAGATCTCAAGGCTTGAATAGCTAAGCAGTTGCTGGAGTGAACAAGAGTTTCCTGCAGGAAAGCGTAATCGCTACATCACTATAAAGGTCCTTTAGTCATATGGAATTAAAGCTTCTCCAACCATTACAATTTTGAATTGTTTCCATTTTTTTAATGATTAATACCTGCAGATATTAATCAACTTATTTATGTAAGCATCACATTACTGTACATATCCTTCATATTAGTCAATCTGCTTTTAATTTTTCAAATTTATGAATTCACTTAATTTTCTCGGAACTAGGGTGCAATATGATATTTTTTTCCTTTGGTATTGGGATCAGACTGTCTTCCCTCTGACCAATATCTAAAATCCTCTATAATGTGATTAGGTGATGCCTTCCATCACTAAAAACCAGAATGAAAGAACATGCGCTCAGTTTGTTCCTGTTGTCTGTACAAATCAACAACGTAGCCACAAGGGCATCAGCCTTGAACCAGCCAAATAGCTTTGCAAACTAGTTAGCTTGGTCCACATCATATGCGTCAAATTAAATTGTAATAATTACCCCCTATGGTTTTCAATTGCCTTGATGTTTATCCGAGGTTGCAGAGAAGAGGGAATTACTTCGCTAGAGATGCCATTCAACTTATTTATCACATACCTGAAGTAGAACATGTGGTTTTGAGAGAATAAAACCATGTCATGGTTGGCCAATTCTATGACAGCAAAGGTTGAAGATATCACAGTAGTAACGTACCACTACAATGTGTATAGTGTTGATTAGTGTCTAGATTCGTTGTACTTCTTTGTACTATCACTGTACTTTTGCATTACTGTACTATGATTGCACAACTACAATGTACATAATGTTGAATAGCCAAGTCCAGCATCCAGTCCCCACTATATGGGCCCCCACACGTCCTTGCAAGACTTTTGCCTGGTTTTTCCAAGCATTTAATTAACTCTATTTGTGACATGATTAGGCAATATCAGGTAAAAGTGATATTACTAGTGTAGAGATATATGATTGGAATGTAATGTTTATTCACTCTGAGGAGAGGGTTGTATATACAAGAGAGAGTCTTCGCTTTAAAGGCTCATTAATGCAGAATAATACAATATCCCTACAATGAAGGTGTAATATCTACAACAACAAAATATACTCTATAATCATAATAATTTGAAATAAAAGTTTGATGCTTTATCTTTGATGCACTGGGAGGAAAATAGTAACAACCTTAAGTTCATCTAGTCTGCTGAAAGCTCCTCGAGAATCAACCAAAAATGCTAATTGGCGTTCCAAGTCTGCTCCATAATCTACCTAGTGAATAGAAGGGGGAAAAAGCGAATCATAATCTCCATAACCACAAACACATTACCACAAACAACTATAGAAAAAAATTTACCATGTGAACAAAGCGAGAGATCAACCGAGACACATGGCTATCATCGTCTTTAACATTCATGAATTCCATATCATCATGTAGAGTTTGAGAAATTTCATAAAGCAACTGTATAGTTGTTGGGTGTCTTATGCGACAATTCCTGCTTAACAAATAACCCATAAAATAGAGAGTATATTCTTTAGTTCATTGATCAAGTAATTGTATTTTACAAATGGTAAAGGCTAAACATAATGTAGACAAAGGATGAGCCTAGGAGTTAATGACAAGTAGTTCAATGCTCCAATAAAGGAAAGTAATCAATGCATTAAAACATAATTAACATTTGCTAACATAAGAATAAATGCTTAATGACCAAGTTTGAAAATATAGTTGTTGCCGGACCATATTAAATCTAGAGGCTTCAATACTAGAGTTTGCTAAGTGTAGAGAAGGATGTCTACTAGATATGTTGCCATTTACTAACTCTCCCCTCAAGTTGTGCCCCTTCATGTTTTTGGGTGATGTGGTTCTTGTAATTCAATAAACTGTATGCCTTTTCTATAAACAAAACCAAGTTCTCTACTTTATTCCATTTCCCTTTGAATCTCTTTATCCTCTTCCTCTTTGTATTTTTGGATGCACTTGTTTTATTCATGATCTAACCCAGACAAAGATAAATTTGAAGCTAAATCTATCCAATGCATCATCCCTAGGTATTTATGCCTTCAGAAGTGATATCAATGTTACTCCAAAGAAGGCAAAAAAAAGCTTTATCTCTTTCGATGAGACATTGTTTGAAGTGTTTCAATATTTTTCTTTGCTGACAACTGAACATCAGTCTTTCTCTAAGGTAATATATTGCATTACCTATTTGACAACCACTTCTCAAGACATTCAAACTTATCACTGGCATCCTATCCTCGCTTTCTTACAAGCTTTATTGATGTAGCAATTGACCCACACCATACTCCAACACCAGCCCATGACTCCCTTACTATGAAAGAGTTCCCATTTCTTAGACGTCATTGATAATTTGCCATATAAATGCTAACTGTGTTGAATCTCCTACTGATAATGATCTATTTTAGGATATCATGTGCTAATTGGCCATAATTCACTCTCTTGGAACAGCTAGAAACAAAATGTGGTTGCATAATCTAGCACAGAAGCAAAATATCATGCCATGGCCTTAGCAACATGTGGACTTGTTTGTTTGAAGCAACTTCTTTAGTGTGGGAAAGTGGGCTTGTTGCCAAAAGCCCACTTATTAGTTTTAACCTAATCTCCTAGAATCTCCTAGCAATAAATAGGTGTATCTCTTGTAATAGTCAAATTATGACAAAATCTAACCATTATCATTATTTCCTTATCTTTAGGTGGAATTTAGGGGATGTGATCAGATTTATATTAATTAGGTTTATTCTGCATTAATTAGGCTTACCCTCTATATTATGTAAACCCTCATTCAGTGAATACTACAGCGTACTATTCAGAAAATTACATGGTATCAGTGCCTTAACCGAAACCCTACTCTATATCCTTTAAGACTGCACTTATGCAGCCACGTGTCTTTACTGCTGATAATAGCAACACAACGCCATCTAGGGCGGCCTCGTAAGGGGTGGGAGTCACTAATGCCTTCTCCCAAATTCCGATCACCCATCGTCTGGATGGGAATAATTATCTCCAATGGTCCCACTACGTTCTCATGTTCATCCGGGGTCGTAATAAGGAACATCACCTCCCTGGAAATCCACCTCTACCAACATCTACAAATCCTGAATTTGCTGCTTGGTGTGCAGAGAATAACTTGGTCATGGCATGGCTTGTCAGCTCCACAGCAGCTGATATTGGTGAGAACTACCTCCTTGCCACTAACGCCAAAGAAATCTGGGACTCTACCAAAGCCACCTATTCTATTACACAAAACACTACTACACTATTTCAAGTCAAACGAAAACTCCATGGTGGTAAAAGGTGAATAGACTATCACTCATTATTATACTACTCTAATGAAATTTTGGCAGCAAATAGACCTCCATGACGTCCATGAATTGGTGAGTACTGCTACAGCCATGTACTATAGGAAATTAGTGGACCAAGAACGCTGTTACAAGTTTTTGCATAGACTCAATGACTCCTATGAGAATGTTCGCGCTAGAATTATAAGTCTCAAGCCTTTCTCATCTTTGCTCGAAGCATTCAATACTATCAAATTTGAGGAAAGCAGGAAGGTACTCATTAACCCCTCTGCTGTTCCTATTAACTCCTTTGCCTTTGCTGTCCATGGTTCTCAAAGTGACACAAAAGCCAAAAAGCCTTCCAAGTGGTGTGATCACTGTCACAAAAATGGTCATCCTAGAGAAGTGTGCTGGAAGCTATATGACAAGCCTCCCAACAATAAACAGAAAGGCAAACCTAGAAGTAAGGGCCCACTAGTTGGCCCTCCTGCTGTCCCAGAGCCTATGAGCCATGAAGAGTTACTACTCCTATGTAAATTTTTAGATAGGCATCTCACTTATGGCCGAGCTAGTGAGACTTCTACCCCCTCTGTCACTCTAGCCCGTGCAGGTACTACCCTCACCCATGTCTTTAGTAGTATAACTACTAAAAATCTTTGTTTTATTGACTCTGGTGCCACTCACCATATTACTAGTTTTAAGGAACTGTTCACCAAATTTTGTAACCACTCTGATCATAAAATTGTGGAAGCTACTAATGGCCAGTTTGCTAAAGTTCAAGGCTCAGGAATTGTTGAAATTTCAACAGATATTGTATTACACAATGTTTTGTATGTCTTGAACATTGGATGTAGCTTGCTGTCTGTAAAACAAGCCGCTGACCAACTGCACTGTCTTATTACTTTTAACAATATTGGTTGTGTCTTTCAGGACTTGGTATTAGGGAAGAGGATTGGCACTGCTAAAGTGTGGAATGAGCTTTATATTATCCAAGGCATTTCCTCAAATAAATCAATTTGCACTGCTGCTTTATCTACCATGACTCTTGATGAATAATGTTGTAACACTCTAGGTTAGGCCACCCTGGTTTTCACTATATGCAAATTTTATTTCCAAATATTAACAAGAAATCTATTAACGAATTTCACTGTGACACCTGCTATTTGGCAAAACAAGTTTGCAATCCCTATCCTAGTCACCCTTATACTCCTTCTCACCTTTTTTATATTGAACATAGTGATGTTTGAGGTCTCTCTAAATTTGAAACAACGTCCAAGGCTCATTGGTTTGTTACATTTATTGACAATCATACAAGACTAGGGTATTTCTTATGAAAAATAAATCTAAAGTTTTCCCTATTTTTCAGCAATTCTATACCTTTATTAAAAACCAATTACGCTAAACTATTCAAATCTTTAGAATAGATAATGCGAAAGGATATTTAAATTCTTCATTTACAAATTTTTTGGTGTCTAATAGTATTCATCATGAAACTTCATGTCCTTATTCTCTAGAACAAAATAGAGTCTCTGAAAGAAAAAATAAACATCTTCTTAAAGTAGTAAGAGCACTTATGTTTGAAAGGAATGTTCCTAATTGTTTTTGGGGAGATGCTATACTTACCGCTGCCCATTTAATAAATAGAATGCCTTCCAAAGTTTTAAATTTTCAAACCCCCCTACAACAACTTCTTGCTTTTTATCCAAATTCATCCCTTGTTACCTCTCTTCCAAAGAAGTTTCTGGGTGCACTGTTTTTGTCTACAATAAACATGGTAGGAAATTGGACCCTAGAGACATTAGATGTATTGTTCTGGGCTACTCTTCAAACCAAAAGGGGTATAAATGCTATTCTCCTCTTACAAATAAATTTTATATTACTATGAACACTAAGCTTGCAGGAAACATGCCATGTTACCCCAAATCATCCACTCAGGGGGAGAACTAGAAAAGTAATTGGATAATTTGTGATCATTCTAGCCAATAGACCACCTTCTTAACCTAGACCTTACGAACCCTCAAAATCTTCCTGAGGAACCTATAGAACCAATAGACCATATGGACCCTTAAAATCGCCCGAATATAGTGTTAAATGAGCAAAGCTACCGCACTCTCTTGGATGGAGGCGGTTAAAGAAGTTAGTTCATGAGACCAAGATTAGATTTGGCACTTGGAATATTGGAACGCTAAATGAGAAATCTATGGAAGTAGCAGGAGTTATGAGGGACAGAAGGATTAATATCTTGTGCCTCCAAAAAACCAAATGGATTGGAGAAGTTGCCAAAGAACTTGGAGAGTGTAAACTTTGGTACACAGGAAAGGTGAGGGCAGGAAATGGGGTTGGTATCATCGTTGATGGAACATGAAAAAAAAAACGTGGTAGGGGTTAAAAGGTTTGAGGACAGAATAATATCTTTAAGAGTAATTGCTGGAAAGGATACTATCAATATCATTAGTGCCTATACAATTCAAGTTGGGGCAAAGGCACACCTTAAAGATAAGTTCTAGGAAGATATGGAGGAGTTGGTTCAAAGCATACCACTCAAAGAAAAAAATTTTATTGGTGGGGATCTTAATAGACATGTCGGTGAGGAAGCAGGACAATTCAGCAGGGTTCATGGTGGTTTTGGTTTTGGAGAGCTTAATAGTAGAGGACAATCTATTCTCGACTTTTCTCTTGCATATAATCTCAAGATTGTCAACACTTGTTTTAAGAAGCGAAATGAGCATTTAATCACGTACAAGAATGGTGCCTCAAAATCACAGATTGATTTCTTTTTGTTTAAGAATCCAGAGAGAAGACTGTGTACTAATTGCAAAGTGATTCCGAGAAATGGGTGACTGCCCAACATAGAGTACTTATCCTTGATATACGCTTTAAGAGTACCACACAAAAGTACAATCAAGTGGGAAAACCTAGGGTTAAATGGTGGCAGTTTAAGGGTGAGAAGCGGGATTTATCCAAAAGGACCCTTTTTGAGGAAGGGATTTCAGAGTTGCAGGGAAATGCAAACATGATGAGAGAAGAGATAGCTACAAGGGTTCGTTTGGTAGCTAAAACAATTTTGGGAGAATCCAAAGGTCCTGGTCAGAGAAATAAGGAGACTTGGTGGTGGGATAAGAGTGTGCAAGAGAAAGTCAGACAAAAAAGAGATTGTTTTAAGGCTATACATTTGTGCAATAGTGTAAAAAACTAGGAAAAGTATTCAATTGGCTAAAAAAGATGAAGAGAGCAGTGAGCGAAACACGTACTAAAGTTTATGAGGGGTTTTATCAAGAGTTAGGAACAAAGACGAGAGAAAGAAATATTAACAAGATTGCGAAGCAAAGGGAGAGGAAAAAGAAAGATCTGGACCAAGTAAAGTGTATAAAGGATGAAGATGGTAAAATGCTAGTTACTGATGGTGATATTAAGAACAGATGGGAGGCTTACTTTTACAAGCTGTTTAATGAGGGAAGCAATTATATGACTCAGGACTTACAGGACTTGGTAATTAACGAAGATGATCGAAATTTGGCTTTTTACAGCAGGATCCGTATCGGAGAGGTTAGGGCAGCTCTTAAGAAAATGGACAAAGGTGAAGCCATTGGGCCTAATGGTATCCCTATTGAAGTTTGGAAATATTTGGACACTAAGGGTGAGATGTAACTAACCAAGCTTTTTAATGAAATTTTACGCTCTAAGAATATGTCGGATGACTAGAGGAAAAGCATTTTAGTTCCTATTTACAAGAATAAAGGAGACATTCAAAACTATACAAGCTACAGAGGGATAAAACTTGAGTCATACAATGAAGTTGTGGGAAAAAGTGATGGAACATAGGTCGAGGTTGGAGACTTCTATTTCGGAAAACCAATTTGGATTTATACCAGAGAGATCCACATTGGAAGCAATCTATTTACTAAGGGCGTTAATGGAAAGATGTAGGAGTAAAAGAAGGGATTTACATATGGTTTTTATTGACCTGGAAAAGGCTTATGATCGCTTGCCAAGAGAAGTAATGTGGAAAGCTTTGGAAAAGAAAGGTGTACGGGGTGCTTATATCAAAGCCATACAAGATATGTATGAGGGGGTAACTACCAGTGTAAGAACACCTGGAGGTGAGACAAAGGACTTTCCTATTAAGATTGGCCTATATCAAGGATCTTCTTTGAATCCATACTTGTTTAACATTGTTCTGGATGTTTTAACTGAACCTATTTAAGAAAGAATCCCTAAGTCCATGCTCTTCGTAGATGACATAGTTCTTATGGCGGAATTAAAAGAAGAGATTAACACTAGATTGGAGTTATGGAGAAGGACTTTGAAGTCGAAATGTTTCCACTTGAGCAAGAACAAAACAAAATATATGCATTGTAATTTTGGGAGGAGACAAGGCAATGGGGATTTGGAGGTGAAGATGGGGGATCAAATCATTCCTCAAGTATCAAAGTTTAAATACCTAGGATCCATTATACACGAGGATGAGAAAATTGATGGAGACATTTCTTATAAAATACAAGCTGGATAGTTAAAGTGAGGAAAACTACCGGAGTTATTTGGATAAGAAGGTACCTGAGAAGCTTAAAGGAAAATTTTATCGGACTGCTATAAGACCAGCTATGTTGTATAGTAGTGAATGTTGGGTAATAAAGGGAAAACAAGAGCACAAAGTCAGGGTAGCAGAAATAAGGATGTTAAGATTGATGTGTGGTCATACAAGAAAAGATAGGATTCAAAATGAAAATATCAGAGCAAGAGTCGGTGTGGCACCTATCCAAGAGAAAATGATTGAAAATCGCTTAAGATGGTTTGGACATGTGTAGAGAAGGCCATTGGAGGCCCCAATGAGAAGAGTAGATCAAGCAATATGGAGTCCCATAAAAAGGGACAGAGGAAGACCCAGAAGAACGCTTAATGAAGTCATTGAATGAGACCTCCTGGTCAACAACATATAAGGACTGGGTTGTTGACAGAGCACGATAGCGTCGTGTGATTCATGTAGCCGACCACACCTAGTAGGATAAAGTTTGTTGCTACTGTTGTTGTTGAACCTATAGAACCAACCAACATCTCCCAAAACAACCTTGAACAAACTACAAACAATACTGAAACTACGCCAACCAGATCTGTTATTCATGATACAAATCCCTTCGAAGCTCTATTCATGATCAGATTATGCCAGAAACTATGATAGAACAAACAATTAATGTTACAAGATAAGGAATTCTTATGATTTTGAATAGATTACTTTATTTGCATCATGTGAAACTCTTTAAATAGATACAAGTCCCTCACCTAGAGAGGTTATTAGGCCGATATTCTAGGGATCTAGCCGAGATACTAGGGATAGATGATATTCTGAATACTATCAACATAATAATCATAATCTTCCTAATAAACAGAAATTAAACAGTGAGATAAGATCTGATCAAATTTGATTTTGAGATCTAGGGTTTTTAGGCCCAAGGCCCATTAGACTGAATCACCAATACTCCCCCCTAAGCTGGCAAGTAGATGTAGCAGAAGGTAACAGCTTTGATGTATATGATTCTTCTATATATTCAGAATCAATCGAACAAGTATATATATACAATGGGAGTATGGAGAGGCCGATTATGATGGCCTGATTCTACGCGATATCAATCACGCTCAAACCGGAAATAAAATCTTTCCTAAAAAAACTTCCGATCATATCTTTGAGATCTAATTTACAATTAATCCCCAAGATCCTATCTTATATTCTACACTCCCCCTCAAGTTGGAGCATAGATATTGATCATGCCCAACTTGCCTATAAGATATTTGAACTTATCACTCGTAAGGCCTTTTGTGAGAGTGTCAGCTGTCTGTTCTCTTGAAGGTATATATCTGAGATCAATTATACCATCATCAATCTTTTCCCTTATGAAGTGTCTGTCTATTTCCACATGCTTCATTCGATCATGCTGAACTGGGTTATGAGAAATGTTGATTGCTGCCATATTATCTGAGTAAAGTCTAATAGGGAGATTCACCACCATTTGTAGTTCCTCCAATACTCGTTTCACCCATAGGCCTTCACAAATTCCAAGAGCGATAGCTCTGAATTCGACTTCAGCACTGCTTCTTGCTACTACATTCTGCTTCTTACTTCGCCAAGTAACTAAGTTACCCCAAACGAAGGTGAAGTATCCAGATGTGGATTTTCTATCATCTTGATCACCTGCCCAATCAGCATCAGTAAACATCTCGACATTTCTTTGGCCAGATTTCTTGAATAGGAGTCCTTGTCCTGGTGAACCCTTCAAATACCTCAGGATTCTGTATACCTCGTTTAGATGCTTCTGTTTTGGATCATGAGAGTGTTGGCTTACGACGCTCACAGCAAAGGCAATGTCTGGTCTGGTGTGAGACAAGTATATCAGCTTTCCCACCATCCGTTGATACCTCCCTATGTCAACAGCCTTTCCCAAGTCTTCATCATCCCTAATTTTATCAGTCCGTATGGGAGTATCACTTGGTCTGCAACCAAGCATTCCAGTTTCCTTTAGGAGATCTAGTATATACTTCCTCTGTGAGATATAAATCCCTTGTTTTGACCTGGCCACCTCTATCCCTAGGAAATACTTCATTTCTCCGAGATCCTTGACCTGGAATTCTTCATTTAGAGCTCTTTTGATCCGATCTATTTCGGTTGGGTCATTACCCGTGAGTACAATATCGTCTACGTATACAGCAAGAATTGTGATGTTTTCGCTCATGTGTCTAAAGAACATAGTGTGATCGCTCTGCCCCTGTATGTATCCCTGTGCCTTAAGAACACGAGTGAATCTTTCAAACCATGCTCTAGGAGATTGTTTCAGCCCATACAATGACTTCCTTAGCTTGCAAGCTTGGTTTTTCTGTTGTCCCGAGAACCCTGGGGGTAGCTTCATATATACTTCTTCCTTTAATTCGCCGTTCAAGAAGGCATTTTTTACATCCATTTGATGTAACGGCCAGTCTAGGTTAGCAGCTAAGGATAAGAGGATTCTGATGGTGTTTAGTTTTGCCACCGGAGCAAAAGTCTCTGTGTAGTCCATGCCATATACTTGAGAGAAACCTTGGGCCACAAGTCTTGCCTTGTACTTTTCAAGATAAGGAACACTAGGAAAGGAGGTGCGATGGTGTTTTGCACGTTCACAGGCATCACAATGAAATTCAAAGCAATCTTTATTTGAGCAAATAGATGGAAACAATTGAGTCATATAATGAAAATTAGGGTGTCCTAACCGTTTGTGCCATAACTCCAATTCACTAGTCCTAGGGAGGGACACTTTATTACAAGAAATAATACGGTGATCAACACAATCATCCAGGTAGTAAAGACCATCAAACTCTTTAGCAACGCCAATCGTCGTCCCCGTCAACAGATCCTGAAAGACACAATGAGTAGCAAAGAAATCAGCATGGCATCGTTCTTCCTGAGCAAGTTGACTAACAGATAATAGATTACATCGCAAGTTTGGAACATGAAGAACAGTATGTAAAGTAAGCGTGGCAGATACTTTAATGCTCCCTATACCAGCAACCTGGGAGTCAAAAGCGTCGGCAATCTTAACAGGTGGTAAATTTTTTGTAGAAGTATAAGAGGAGAATAAGGTAATATCATCAGTCATGTGATCAGATGCACCGGAATCAACAATCCAACATTGTCCAGAACTCATACCTCTGATAGTTGCCAATGCTTTGAAAAAATTACCTCGCTTAACCACAGTGGCCACGGGCTGTTTCCGTAACTGTTGACTGCTTTCTAATGCAGCAAGTCGTTCAAGAATTTTGCTCAGTGCATCTTCCTGGTGTCCTGAATTTGAGGGTCCAGCATCCTCACCACGTGCCACTTCTGTCATGTAACCTCGCCCGCGGCTTTTTCTGGGCTTCCAATCTGCAGGCTTCCCGTGGAGGTCCCAGCAAGTGTCCTTAGTGTGACCCTGTTTGTGACAGTGTTCACACTGTGGTCTGGGCTTTGTGTTACCAGGACGATTTTCAGTGGAGCGAACAGCGAGTGCAGATGGTTCAACGGTGTGGGGCCGAGGTGCTGGGTCACCTTTTAACATGACTTTCTTCCTTGAGTCCTCACTACGTAGCATTGCAAAGGCGCCACGAACAGTGGGAAGGGGGTCCTGACTCAAAATGCGGCCCCTAACATCATCAAAGGAGGGATTGAGTCCGGCCAACAGCTCAAATAGGCGCTCCTTTTCAACTTTCTTTTTATTGCTGGCCGCATGGGAAGCACAGCACGGGCTATCATCACTGATAAGGTCCAGTTCTTGCCAAAGAGTAGTCTTAGCAAGGTAATAGTCACCTAGGGAGAGAGACCCTTGCTTCAGATCCCATAATTTGGTCTTGAGGTCAAATATCTGGGAAGCATTTTCTCCATCGCCGTAAGCCTCATGAATCGCGTCCCACATCTCTCGTGCTGGAGATAAAAACATAAAACAGCGCTTGAGGGAGGGTGCCATCACATTTACAAGCCACGAACATACCATCGCATCTTCGGCCTTCCACAGCTTCACGGCTTTGGCGTCGGTCGATGGTGGAGTCAGTGCATCACCGGTGATATGGCCGAGCTTGCCGCGGCCTTCGAGAGCGAGTTTGATCGACTGGGCCCACTCTCGATAATTCTCACCGGAGAGTTTCTCGGGCACGATGAGGACAGCCGAAGTCTCGAACACGGTGGACAGAGGCCGCGTCGCGCCACCAGCAGAGGAGCCACCGGACATTCCCGACGTCGTGTGCGACTCGGGCAGGGAGGTCGACTCCTTCTCACTACCAGAAGAATGGGTCATCGTTGCTGTTGCCTATCAGCTAGCGTTGCTCTGATACCATGTAGCAGAAGGTAACAGCTTTGATGTATATGAATTCTTCTATATATTCAGAATCAATCGAACAAGTATATATATACAATGGGAGTATGAGAGGCCGATTATGATGGCCTGATTCTACGCGATATCAATCACACTCAAACCGGAAATAAAATCTTTCCTAAAAAAACTTCCGATCATATCTTTGAGATCTAATTTACAATTAATCCCCAAGATCCTATCTTATATTCTACAGTAGATGTCCACCATGTCCAACTTTTCTCTGAATCTTACAAATTTAACTTGATCTAATGGTTTTGTAAGAACATTTGATACTTGTGACCCAGAATTTACATGTGACAAGTCAATGATTTTGGATTCAATCTTTTCCTTTATAAAATGTCGATCAATGTCAACATGTTTTGTTCTATCATGATGAACTAGGTTATGAACTATTTGAATTGCTAACATACTATCACACCATAGCTTAATTGGTGTGTCTACCTCTATCTTGAGTTCCCTTAGGACTTGTAGTATCCACATTCCTTCACACACTCCATTAGCCAATGCTCTCAGTTCTGCTTCTGCACTGCTTCTAGAAACAACAGTCTTTTTCACTTCTCCATGTTATAAGGTTTCCCCAAACAGAGGTGAAATATCCCCCTGTTGATCTTCCGTCAACTCTGGTTCTTCCATGGTTAGCATCTATATATACTACCATGTTCCTTGACACTCCCTTTTTAAAAAATACTCCTCTTCCAGGTGTGATTTTTAGATACCGAAGGATAGTATAGATGGCCTCCATCTGGTCTTCTTGTGGTTGTGATGAGAATTGACTAATAATTCCCACAGCATAGCTTATGTCTGGTCTGGTGTGTGATACATAAATAAGTTTCCTAACGAGACGTTTGTATCTTTCTGCATCAACAGGTACACCGTCTTTCTTGTACTCTAAGTTAACAGATGGATCCATATGAGTAGGTGATGGCTTAGCTCCCAACATACCAGTTTTTTTAAGTAAATCCAATGTACATTTCCTTTGTGAGACTGAGATTCCTTCTTTTGATCTGGCAATCTCCATTCCAAAGAAATATCTTAGGCTCCCTAGGTCTTTAACCTCAAATGCAGTGGCCAAGGTCTTTTTCAATCTTGCTATTTCTTCAATATTATTCCCTATTATCACAATATCATCAACATATACTATTAAAATTGATACATTTCCTTGTGAATGTTTAACAAGCAGTGTGTGATCTGACTGACACTGTATGTAACTAGATTCCTTCACCACCCTTGTGAACCTTTCAAACCATGCCCTCGGGGATTGTTTAAGGCCGTAGAGAGATTTATACAACCTGTATGCCTTTTTTTGTATTTTCGTGTTCAAGAAGCCCTTCTGGTATTCTCATATACACTTCTCCTTCAAGATTTGCATTTAGGAAGGCCTTTTTGACGTCTAATTGATAGAGTGGCCAATCAAGATTGGCAGTTAAGGATAGCAAAATCCTTATGGTATTTAACTTTGCGACTAGTGCAAATGTTTCTTGGTAATCAATTCCTTCAGTTTGAGAAAAACCTTTTGCTACCAGTCGTGCCTTGAACTTACTTACAGAGCCATCAGGGTTGTGTTTGGTAGTAAAGACTCATTTGCATTCCACAGCTTTCTTTCCCTGAGGAAGAGTTACTACTTCCCAAGTTTGATTTTTGTTGAGAGCTTGTAGTTCTTCACTAATAGCTACCTTCCATCTAGGATCCTTGACAGCTTCATTGAAGCTTGAATGTGTTTGATCCTTGTCAACCTTAGACACAAATCTTTTCATGCACGGAGATAACTTGTCATAAGAAACAAAATGACTGATTGGATGTAAAGTGTACTGTCTTACCCTCTTTCTTAGAGTAATTGGCCACCCAAGATCATCAGGGTCTGAAATTTGGGTTGACACTTGACTTGGCCCAGAACTAGGAGGATCCCCACTGTTTGGACTATGTTCTTCCTCGAGCTGATCAGTGTCCCCATCAGATTCGTCTATTTACATTCCCTGCAGTGTATCGTTAGGCACTATAGGAAAAATAGGGATACTGTGACTGGATTCGGGAGGAGAGGAAATATTGGCTGGCACGGTTTCTAGGATGTCAGGTGCTAGTACTAGAGTTTCAGGGTCTGTTTTTGGTTCTAGAATGTTAGGTATGGTAGGTGTGGAAGTCTGTGGTAGGGTTGTATTCGAGGTAGATGTTTTGTCACTATAGTGGAACTTCTGTTCGCTTCTAAAGCTCTCCCCCTGAATGGGGGAACTAGGATAGTAGGCTTGGTTTTCAACAAACTTATCCATTGTAACAAAAAATTTCGGTAGAATTGGTGAATAGCACCTGTACCCTTTTTGGGTGGAGGAGTAGCCTAGAAAGATGCATTTGAGAGCTTTGGGATCAAGTTTGCCCCCTTACATATGGTAAATATACACAATACACCCAAAAACCTGAAAGGGAAGATCATATGTTAGTGAATTTGCAGGGTAGGATTTGGTGAGAAGACTAATTTGGGTTTGAAAGTTTAGAGTTTCGGAAGGTAGTCTATGATCAAGTGTACGGCAATAAGAATAGCTTCTCCCTAATATTGCTTAGGAACATTATGGGTGATCATGAATGAACGGGTAACTTCTAGCATGTGTCTATTTTTCCGCTCAGTAGTCCCATTTTGTTGAGGTGTGTCAACACAACTGGTTTGGTAAACTATCCCATGGTTGCCAAGGCATTGTTGAAATGTATGGCTCATGTATTCGTGGCTATTGTCACCGCGGAGGGTGAGGATTTGGGTTTGAAACTGGGTGGAAATCATTCTATGGAATTTTATGAAAATTTCAGGTAGGTCAGATTTGTCTTTCATGAGAAATACCCAGGTTAGGTGTGTGTGATCATCGATGAAACTAACAAACTATTTAGCATGAGTGAGGGAAGGAATCCGAGATGGTCCCCAAATGTCACTATGAATTAGATTAAATGGTTTTTTGTATTCATGTGAGTGTGGTTTGTAGGTGGCTTTAGTTTGTTTTGAAAATTGGCACACTTTGCAAGTAAGAAAGAGATCACTCTTGTTCAAAAGATGTGGAAACATTTTTGACATGTATCGGAAATCAGGATGCCTGGCCTATAGTGCAACAACAACACTTCTTTATTCTTTGAAGTAGCAGAAAAAACAGAAGGTAACTTCACATGATTTGCCCTGGATTGATGATGCTCTTGAACTTCCAAACAGTAGAGGTCTTCAAGGATCTCAGCTGTGCCAATTGTCTTCCCTTTCTTCGGGTCCTGAAAAACACATTTAACCGTAGAGAAGTGAATATCACAATTTTGATTTTGGATCATAGTTATAACAGACAACAAACTGCATTTTAAGCCAGGTGTATAGAAGACATTATGTAACACTATCTCAGGAGTTATAAAGGCTGTGCTGAGGCCTTCAACTCTCAAGGCTTTACCATTAGCTACTTTTACTAGGATATTCATAGGGCATGGTCTTATGTTAGTCACGAGTTCTTTGTTTCCGGTCATATGGTTGGTTGCCCTTAAATCCACAATCCATAGTCTTGAGTGATATATATCAATTTTTAGTACTAATATGGTTTTACTTGTATGAACAATATAACCAACTACAACAGTTGTCTCTTGTGAGTTATGTTTCTCTAAGAATCTACGAAACAGATCTAGTTCTTCCTGACTGAATTCTAGCTCATTATTGTTCTCAATAGTGTTGGAATACCCTCAACCATCCTGTCTCCCTTTTTTCAGAGGCTTGCCATGTAATTTCCAACAAGTCTCCATAGTATGCCCTTTTTCCCTACAATGGTCACACCACTTATTTTGTGTCCTTGAGTCATCTTGAACTGGCCCTTTTGATGCAAATGCATTTGGTTGATCAAGTTCAATCTTTGACTCTGGGTAGTAAGTTTCTTTCTGCTTTATTCATTTCTCACAGTGAAAAATACTTCCCTTCGGGGTGGTAGGGAGTCAAGACCCATTATTCTGCCTCGTACTTCTTCAAAGGAGGCATCCAGTCCAAGCAAGAACTTAAAAACCCTTTTTTCTTCCTTTATTTTTGTGTAGAGTGCAGCATCACCAGCACACTTCTAGTCATAGGTCTCGTACATATCCAATTGCTGCCACTAAACCACTAAATCAATGTAGTATTGGATCACAGAAAGATTACCTTTCTTGAAATCATGAAGGAATCTTTCTATTTCCAAAATAGCTACTTTGTTTTTGAGTCTAGCGAACATATCTCTGGCTGCATCCCACACCTCTTTAGCGATCTGGAATTGATCAACCAAGCTTGCACCATGGAATTTTCAGCTTCCCACAGGGTATTTTTTGTCGTCTTGAGCTGGTTTCTGAATCCCTCCGATCAAATATTCATATTTTCCTTTGCCCATAATGTATAGGCGTATGCTAGAGGACCATTGCATGTAGTTCTCTCCATTGAGTCGATGAATAGTGATAGCGGCCAGATTGGACTCAATCAAATTTTGATGACTGGTGGAGCCAGTTGCTACTGCGTTCAGACCTGATGGGTTAGTTCTTGGAACCCTAGGGTTGGCCCCTCATTGTTGAATCCAATACCGAATATGATCATCTCTGCTTTGATACCATGAGGAATTCTTATGATTCTGAATAGATTACTTTATTCAAATAATGTGAAACTCTTTAAATAGATATAGGTCCCTTACCTAGAGAGGTTATTAGGCCGATATTCCAGGGATCTGGTCGAGATACTAGGGATAGATAATATTCTGAATACAATCAACATAATAATCATAATCTTCCTAATAAATAGAAATTAAACAGCGAGATAAGATATGATCAAATCTGATTTTGAGATCTAGGGTTTTTAGGCCCAAGGCCCATTAGACTGAATTGCCAACATAGAACAACAAAACAGCGAAGAAAGACCCATTACTAAGCCCACAAAGCACCGTGACTCGACTACTGAACCAAGTCTTGAAGACCTCCATTGGCCTATTGCTCTAAGGAAAGGAAAGAGAAGCTGCACTCAATGCCCATCAGTAAGTATACGTCTTATTGTAAAAATCCCGAAATCATCTCCCTATCTTAAAGACCATTGATCTGATTTTATTTTGATTCCGCATCTTGAATGATTCTTTACCGTTGTATCTCATTTATTCCCTTTCCCTTTTTTAGTTTGCCAAATTAGTGTATATATGGTTGTAAAAGGTTCTTTGATGAATA